TTTTGATTCTGACTTAAAGGTAAGCTATTATTGATTACTTCAACTTTGTTTTATTTTGCTTTAATGAGATAGAGAAAGACAAACATCGTTAATAGGGTCTCAGGCCATAACTTCTCCCATCCCCACGCCCTCACCTTTTCTCAGCCATCCAGAATCATGGCCATGTACAAGTCTGGTGTATATAGGTCAGTGCTGGAACCAATCCTCAATCTTTCATTTGGCTTCTCATATGGCCACTGGAAAGATTCAAGGCAGGTTTGGAAGATTGGAATTTTCAGCCCTCAGATGATCTAGAGAAGGTCTGAAAGTTGACCAGTGGCCACCAATTTAATCACCTATACCTCCATAATAAAGCCTTCATGATAACCAAAAGGACTAGGTTTGGAGACCTTCTGGATAGCCAGACATGGCAATTCCTGGAGGATGGTGCCAGAGAGAATATGGAGGATCCTAAATGCCTTGCCTTATGCATCTTTTCATTGGTATCCTTTGTAATATACTTTATAATAAGTGGGTAAACTTTTGAGCCAGCAGATAGCATAGCAGTTATGTCACTGGACTCCCACATGGCTGACCACAGTTTGAGTCCTAATCTCAGTGGCTTGAAATTCATGCTGGACGCATGTGCATGCATGCCCAAGATCCCAGGAGGAATGTGGATAAGGGATTGCAGTGTGGCTATCCCCTTGGGGAGTGATTTCTCACTTTCCCTCTCACTATCTCTGTCTCTCTCTCCAGCAGAAGAGAGGAGGGGAAAAAAACCTCCTATTTTTTTTTTTTTTTAAAAAGGGGCAAACTTTAGTATTTCTCAGAATTTTGTGGACTGCTTTATCAAATTAATCTCATCTGAGGATGAGGTCGTGGGACCCCAATTAATAGCTAGTGGCTCAGAAATAAATGTCACAACCTAGCACTTGTGAAAGGCATCTGAAGTGTGTCGGGGGGTCAGTCTCGTGGGATGAGCTCTGAGCCTGTGAAATCTGATAACACCTTCTGGTAAGCAGTGTCAGAACTGAATTATAGAATAACTAACTGGTATCTGTTGCAGAAATGGTTTGTGGAGAAATACCCCCACACATTTGATGTCAAAAGTATTGAGTTAAATGAGCCTAAGAATAGCATTTTGGTTTTGTGTTTTTACATATAGAAACATGCACAAATCACCAGTGTGCCATTGACGAATATTCCTAAACAGATTACATTTGTGTAACCATTTCCCAGGAGAAGAAACTCCATTGCCGGGAACATAGAAGCATCATGTGGACCCTTCCATTTACTTTAGTGTGTGGAATAAACAAGTTCTGATTATTGTTGACTAGTTTTAAGCTTTATATAAATGGAGTAAGACAGTTTGTGTCCTTTTATCTGGCCATTGCTCAACATTATGTTCATTAAATTTTTAAAAATTTGCTAGAGGGACCACCAGATGGACTCTCACATAGTCCACTGTGGTTTTAGTTCCGGATCCAGTGGCTTAAAACTCAGGACAGGTGTGTGAGCGCCCAAGATCCCAAGAGGAGAATGGAGGAGAAAGGATTGCGGCATGGCCATCCCTCCTGGTGGGTGATTTCTTGCTCTCTTCCTTTCTGTCTTTCTAGTGAGCACATGCATCCTATAACAAAAATCTCTCTTTAAAAAAAAGTAAAGATTTGCTAGAGGGTACCTGCACTGACAGGGTGAGGAGATGGGGGTGGAGATGGAGAAAATGAGAAAGCATCTCCCATGAGGGATGACCCTGTTGAATCCCTTCTCTCTAATTTCTCCTTTTAGGATCTTGAGCATGCATGCACATGCACCCAGTATGATTTTCAAGCTTCTGGTTCTGGGACTTGAACCATGCAGTTGGCCATGCGAATTCATCTGCACCAATCACCATGCCATTGACTATTCAGTTTACTAGATTTGTGTGTAATTATCATTTTGTGTAATTATAAATGCTTTATTCTCATTGCTGTATGCTGTTCTATGGGAGGAAAATAGGTTTTTCAGGTTACTATCTCCACAGTTAGAAATATAGGTTGAGTATCCCTTATCCAAAATACTTGGGACCATAGGTGTTTCAGATTTCAGATTTTTTTTTTAATTTTTATTTCATTTATTATCATCATTATTCTTTGTTTAATTTAATCAGAGAGAGAAAGGGAGAGTAGGAAAGCAAGCCTCCAGTTCCAGGACTTGAACCGTGGTCAGCCATGTGGGACTCCAGCATCCCAACCACCACACCACCTGCCAGCCACAGATTTCAGATATTTTCAGAATTTGGAATGCTTGGTGTATACATTATGAGATGTCAGATAAGACTCAAGTCTAAACATGATGTTTTCTGTTTCCTGTATACCTGTACACATAGCCTGAAGGTGATTTCATACAGTATTTTAAAAAATTTTTTATTTATTCATTTTAATTATTATTTATAAATTTAATCACTATACATCATTTAGATGTAAAGAGACTTTATCCAGCATGACCCACACCTCAGTCCAGCCCAGTTAAGAACATACGCACATCCTCATCATCAAATAATAAACCATATCCACGTCCCACAAATGCCTTAAATTACCTCTCCATTTTTTCCCCAAATTTCTTTTCCTATGCTCTTCCCCTCCCCCATTCTTTCTACTTTGTCTCTAGTGTCCATAATAATTTTTAATGCTCATATGTCCTCCAGTCTTTCAGTCTCTATCATAGAGTGCTGACAGTTGGTATATGTTAAGAGGAGACATACAATGTCTCTCTTTCATAGGCTGACTTGCTTTACTCAGCAACAGATCTTCCATATTCGTCCATTTTCTATCAAATTCCAAGGCTTTGTTGTTTTTTATGGCTGAATAGTATTCAATGGAGTATAGGTGCCACACTTTTTCAATCTATTTATCTGTGTGTGGACATTTGGGTTGGTTCCATGTCTTAGCAATCATGAATAAGGCTGCAATGAATATAGATGTGCAAGCACTTTTCCACCTGAGTGTTCTGTCCTTTGGGTAGATACTCAGGAGTTGAATTGCTGGATCATATGGTAGTTCTGTTTGAAGGTCTTTGAGGAACCTCCATATTGTTCTCCACAGTGGCTGGACCAATTTACAATCCCACAATTTTATACAGTATTTTTATATTGAAGCATTTTGACTATAACTCATCACATGAGGTCGGGTATAGAATTTTCCACTTGTGTCATTTTGGCACTCAAAAAGTGAAATTTTGGAGCTTTTTTTTTTTTTTTGAGAGGTTTTTCGCTTTAGAGCGTGTGTGCTCGCCAGACAGAGAGAGACATAGAGACAGAAAGTGAGAAATCACCCCCCACGGGGGATGGTCACACCACAATCCCTTCTCCTCCATTCTCCTCTCAGGATCTTGGGCACGCACGCACACGCACCCGACGTGAGTTTTAAGCCACCAGGTCCGGATGCAAACCGCAGTCGACTATGTGGGAGTCCAGCGACATAGCCATTACACTAACTACTGGTTCCCGAAATTTTGGAGCATTTTGAAAGAGAAAGCTAGAACTCACTGGGTCTGGATAACATTAACCTATTCATTAAAATGTTATCTCCATGTTGTAAGTCTGGATAACATTAACCTATTCATTAAAATGTTATCTCCATGTTGTAATTAACACAATCCAGTCTCCACCCACTGAGACTTAACCACCTCCTGACACTGAATTACAAAAGTGAAACTTTGGGGAACAGACCATTATCCAAACTATGACAGAATGTGCATACATGATAGAGAGAGAATGTATGTATACATGTACACAGCTCCCTGAGACCCTCCCTTTAGTGATTCCCTAGGTCAGCTCAGCATTAGTCATACTTAGGACTGATTCATTATAATGAAGTGATAAAAGCAAAATCAGTAAGGTTCTAAGAATCTTCTCCCAGTAGAGTCTCAGAGAACACACTTAGGTTCTCTAGTAGTGTTGTGTGACAACATATGTAAAATGTGTGTCCTAGGGAAGCTCAGTAGAGCTCTGGTGTTTTTATCAAGGGCTGGTCATACAGGTACTCTCTTCCTGGTACATACCAAAATTCCAGACTTCTAGAAAGAATTCACATACCCAGTGTAAACCTTATTGTTTATATAAATGGTTCTGGTTCAGTGAGCCATTTTTATTGAGGAATTATGTGAATCCTCCTGGAATTCAAGTTCATAGCTGCTAGCCAAAGGTGATCCCTTAGAGATCTTTCAAAGGATGGCAGTCTCAGGCTGCTGTATTATTCCTGTTAATGCACAACATACATACCATATGTATGTTGAACTTTCCCCATATTCTCATTTATTTGGTTCATTATTTCCCTCTGGTTTTGTTGAACATTTTACTCTTAATTCACTGTGAAGTTCTTGTTTGTTCTGGCATCTGGATCACCTTCTTTTGTTGCCTTTTTTTGTTTTTTTTTAATTAGTCTCTTACTTTACCTACCATGATTCTTTTTTTTTTTTTACTGGGTACAAAATATTGTTCAAAACAAACAAGAATTGGTAGAGACTCCACAAGATGATCTCTTCAGCAGAGAGGAGTCATCCTTTTCTCTGATAGCCAGGCAGACTCTAAGGTTGTCACTTTAATCAATTATGTATTGAACTTGATGCCATAGTCATTTTATTTCCATTATTTACTGTCTGAAGGTTTTACTTCTCTTGATAATGTAAAAGATAGGATGAAAGAACTAACTTTCCCTCTGTAATTCCACAGTCTATTTTACCCTGGCTCCTGAAATATCCAGTTTAATAAATGTCAGTATACGTGTTTATCAGGTTATGATCACTTAGAGAGCAGAAACTGTGTTTGTTTTCACCAGTAGTATTCACAGGAAGTAGAGATCCAGGCTCTTGGTGGAAATTCTGTACAAGACATTTTGTAATACTCTATATAGTATAGCACAAAAGGGGGTATTGTGTATGCCATTTTTCAGTGAACTCTGAAGAGATTTGCCTCTTAAGTCATTTCTACATGACTTAGTTCTGACCTCTTCATATAGAAAAGGAATATATTATTACAGGAACAAGTGTCATTCAAGGATATATGTGTGGACTTCACCCAGGAAGAATGGTATCTGCTGGACCCTGCTCAGAAGGTTCTGTACAGAGATGTGATCCTAGAAAATTACAGCAACCTTGTCTCCATAGGTAAGCCCCCATGTGGCTGCCAGTAGGAGGCATTTCTTAGTTGCTAGAACATATGAATGCCTATAGTTTTCTGATTTGAAGCTTGAGATTCAGGGCTCTGAGGTGGCTGTTCCTTTTTGGCCACCATGAAGAATATGTTCTTACCTCCACCTTAGGGATTAGTTACTTCGGGCACCTTCTTTGAATAGCTCCTGAAGCTGTACCTTTCTTTCCCATGATTTTGTTAGAGTCCCTGAAGTCAAGCTGTTTAGTCCCCAGTCTGCTGTTATTTTCTTTTAACAGGTTATTGTATTACTAAGCCAGAGGTGATCCTCAAGATAGAACAAGGAGAAGAGCCCTGGATATTGGACAAGAGATCCCAAAGACAATGTCATCCAGGTGAGTAAATGTGTTCACAGATAGATGAAAGTCATAGGAAATCAGATCTTGGGTCATTGGTTTAGAGTTTATCACTGTTCGAATATTTTTCTGAAATTTCTGTTTTTAGCCCCAGATCTCTAGAAAAGACCAAAGACACTTGGCTTATGTACCTGTTAACTTATGTCATCCTCACTCAGACATGCTTTTCTTTCTTTCTTTCTTTTAATTTTTTTAAAGAATTATTTGTTTATTCAATTCCATTTGTTATTATTTTTTAATTTGACCAGACAGAGAGAGAGAGAGAAGGGGAAAGTGAGAAAGCAAGCCACAAGGTCCAGGACATGAACTGCTGTGGGCCATGTGAGAATCCAGCACTCTTAACCACCACACTACCAGCCGGCCCCCAGAAATGCTTTTCTTTTTACTTTCATGTTTCATAGTGATTTACCTATACCCATAATCCAAACCTAGTTGACTTCATCTTAGATACACTTTTCTTGTTGACTCCTTTTTATCTGTTAGAGCTGTTCAACTTCAGGACCAGCGGATAGCAGATCACCTGACTCGCACATGGTTGACTATGGTTCAAATCCCAGACCCAGTGACTTAAAACTCAAGCCGTACACATGTGTGTGTGTGCCCAAAATCCTGAGAAGAGAATGGAGAAGGGACTGTGGTATAGCCATCCTCCTTAGGGGTGACTTCTTGCTTTCTGTCTGTCTCTCTGGCAAGTGCATTCACCCAATAGCAAAACATTTCTTAAAAAAATCATTCACCTTCCCTCTATTGTTTTTGGTCATCTTTTTAGATGGCAAAGAATATTCCTAAATCTTCTTGGAAAGTCATGTGTCAAAGCATGTGAAATCATACAATACTGATGATACTCACTATGACCTAGTTACACTGTAGATAATTAACAAAATAACGTTCCTGGTATCATTGTGTATGTTGCAATATGGGAATATATATGTACACAAACTGTTGGATGATGGTAAGTACTATGAAGAGAGTTTTCTTGGGAAAAAGTGTAGAGAATATTGGTATGTGCTATTTAGCAAGGAGGAAGAGGATACCTTATAAAGAGCTATATGTTAGAGATGAGACTCTATAAAGTGAGAGTGAGCTACGTGGATTCAAAGTATTTCAGGCAAAGAGACTGTCCTGCTAATCCTCTCAGACAGCTTTGTTTTTATTTATTTATTGCCAGAGGCTCTGTGCACTTGCCAGAGAGAGACAGAGAAGAGAGGGAGAAAGCCCCCTCGAGAGGGTGTAGTCACACTGCAATCCCTTCTTTATTATCTCTCCATCCTGTCAAGATTTAAGGCACACAGACACATGTGCCCCACGTGTTTTTCAAGCTGCCAGGGCCAGGGTTTGAACTGTAGTTGGCCATGTGATTCAGCTCCCTTATCCACTACGCTATGAGGCTCAGCCTATTTTGTTTTTAGAGTGTTTGAACAATGACACAGAGACCAGTGTGACTGGAATATAGTGTGCATGGAGGGAGCTGATAGATGATGTCATAATAAGTAGTATGGGCCATGGTATTTTTTTTTTTTCTTAGTTTCTGCTCTGGGGCATATGCACTTGCCAGAAGACAGAGACAGAGAAAGAAAATGAGAAGTCACCCTCAAGGGTGATAGTTGTGTTATAATTCTTCTCCTCCATTCTTCTCTTAAGATTTTGTATATGCACGTACACATGACCAGCTTGTTTTTTTTCAAGCTGCTGGGTCTGGGACTTGAACTGCTAAGTTTGTTATGTAGAATCCAGCTGCACTAACCACCATGCTACCAGCTTGGCCCCATGGTAAATATATTAATTTTATTTTGAGTAATGTTAGAAATTTTCAGGGTTTTTTTTTTTTTTTGAGTAACTGTAAATCAAATTAAGTAATCAGATTTTATTTTCATTTAGGAAGGATCTGATTTCTATGCAATGAGTATACTGTGGTTGGAGACTGGTGGACAGGCATGAGCAAGGAAAAGATACCACTTAGGGAGACAATTATATACTCCAGATGAGAGGGGATAGTGGCAAAGACTGGGTTGGAGATGCTGAGAGGTAGTAGATTTATACATATGGACAAAGGCTTCTTAGGGGACCACTGTCATGTAATATAGTCTGTGTTTGCCCAGAATGTCATTATATAGCACATGACTATATAAGGAGCTCTGAGTTCTAAAGGATGAAGCAACTAGAGTCTTAAAATGGTAGAGATACTGTAAGAGATTTTTGGCTTTTGTTCTTTTATTATTACTATTAGTTTAGTTTTGTTTTGCTTTTAATGAAAGAAACATTTCACTGAAGTTTCTAAGGAAAACCCCAAGGCTGGAATGCTTCCAGTTGAATGAAAGACATTTTGGGAATGAGTGATTTACAAGAGTTTAGTTACTATGTAGAGCCTCACAGAGATATTTTTAATAGATTTATAGAGGGCCAGCTGGTGGTGTGGTTGGGGTGACGATCCCACATAGCAAGTTGTGTAGTTTGAGTCCTGGACCTGGTGGCTTCAGAGGCACACTGAACAGCTGAGTACTTGAGCATACAATGTTCTTTCTTATACTCTACTCCTTCACCCACCTTCTTCCCACACTATATCTGATATTCACGACCATTTACGGTGTTTCTGTATCCTTTAGTCATTCAGTTTCGGTCATAGAGTGCAGACACTCAGTATATATTATGTGGATACATACAGTGTCTCTCTTTCATAGCCTGGATTGCTTCACTCAGCAGTAAATCTTCCATATTCATCCACTTTCTGTCAAAATCCAGGGTCTTGTTCTTTTTTATGGCTGGGTGGTATTCCATAGAGTCTGTGTGCCACAGTTTTTCAATCCATTCATCTGTTCATGGGCATTTGGGTTGGTTCCATGTCTTAGTAATTGTGAATGATGCTGCAGTAAACATCGATGTGCCAGCACTTTTCCAATTAAGAATTCTTCTGTCTTTGAGCAGATACCAAGGAGTGGGATTGCTGGATCATGGTAGTTCTATTTGTAGATTTTCGAGGAATCTCCAAATTGTTCTCCACAGTAGCTGGACCAGTTTACATTCCCACCACCAGTGTAGAAGAGTATCCCTTTCACCACACTCCCGCCAGCAGTTATCTTTTGTTTTATTAATCTTAGTCATTCTGACTGGGGTTAGATGGTATCTCATTGTTGTTTTGATCTGCATTTCCCTTACAATGAGGGAAGTTGAGCATTGTTTCATATGCCTTTTGGCTATTCGTTTATCATCCTTACAGAGTTTTTTTTTTCAACTCATTCTCCCATCTTTTAATAGGATTGATCATCTTTTTTCAGTGCAGCTGCTTGAGTTCCTTGTGAATTCTGGTTATCAATTTCTTATCTGATGTGTAATTTACAAAAATGTTTTCCCATTCTGAGGGCTGTCGATTCACACTAATTACTTTGTCTTTTGCCATGCAAAAACTTCTTATTCTGGGGAACCAGCAGTTAGCGTAATGACTATGTCACTGGACTCCCACGTAGTCGACCGTGGTTCGAGTCCTGGACCCAGTGGCTTAAAACTCACGCCGGGCGCGTGTGCGTGCGTGCCCAAGATCCCGAGAGGAGAATGGAGGAGAAGGGATTGCGGCGTGACCATCCCCC